ATGGTTCGATTCCTGGATTTCATCTAAAGATGAACAGTTCTTCCGACGCGGTATTCATTCACTGCCCGAAAGATGGTCAAAAGTAGTAGAAAGTGATGGGAAGTACTTTCATTAATGTATTTTTTAATGCTCATGTGAAATAAATAACATTCTTTCATTAAAAAAACGCTACGAATTAATTCCAACACCTAATAGTAGTGATAATTTTTCGTTCTTTCATTACATTTTTTGAATTTAAATGTCACCTGTTTTTCATTAAACGTAAAACATTAACTCTTCAGCGAAATATAATTAAAATTTAAATATAATTTAAATATAATTAAAATTTCATATACATATTCATTGAAAATAAACATATAAAAAACATTGAAAACAAACGTGAAAAAATTCCTTGACTTAAAGTATGCATTAATTAAATATAAAAGGATAGCAAAAGGTTATAGGAATCAACACTGTAAGTCATTCGCATAAAATTATTATAGAAATTGACGTCTAAAAAAAATGCGTTAACAATAAGACAGATGCTTTGGCTAATTTCTAGTTCTCTTCAGTGTAGAAAACTTAAAGACATTATAATTTACATTCTTCGTGCAACAAGCCTTGCAGACACTCCAGTGATCTCCATCTCTAAATAGACCATAATGTATTTTTCCATACCAATTGGCAACGCTAAATGACCTTAAAAAGATCAAGACCTTAAAAGAATAACAATCGTTTGTAAAATGGACAAAATTATTTATATAAAATTTATGGGAAAAATAAGTTTCAGTAAACAAACCAGGGCCGATTATAAGTCCAGGGAATAGTCTTTGGTGGCCACAGTAGTATCCTCCAGCGATATCGAATGGACTATCAGGACCTTCGACCCTTACGAAGCCTCAAGATTAGATGATATTTATCTTATGCTTTTTAAGGAAAGGCCGAAGGAGCGAGGTTGAAACGCAGCTGGAAGTAAAGGGCTATATACTAGGTATCTTTATAGACGGGGCCTTTTACAGAAGAGACTTTTGATGTAGCACTTTAACCAAATCTATAAGGAAAGCACTGATCAATCATGAGGTACCAGAGAACCTCTGATATCTCATGATTGATCAGTGCTTTCCTCGGTACTCGTAGAATGGATGGAAAGCATGTTGATGAACAGAAACCTGGCGTAGATCTCGATAAAATCCATATTAAGGTTTGCTTATCCAATGACTGCCCGCAGGAGGAAATTCTTTTCCCTCTGCTGTGGATTCTGGTCGTGAATGAATTCCTGATTAGACTGAAGGAAGCAGAACTCTTGATCTTTGGCTACGTGGCCATTATGGTTAGGAGAAACTTCTCATTTAAGGAATGAATGGGTGCAGTCTTAAGAATCATTCAGAATTGGCGATCGATGTGATACACAGACTTAACCTAACAATTAATCTGTTTAAAACTTCGGCCATAATCTTCACTAGGAAGTATAAACCTGAACCCATTGGTCACTTAAGGCTATAGGGAAAGGACATATATCTTCTCGATAAAATATCTGGGGATAGCATTAAATACTAAATTGGAGCTGGAAGCTACACTTTGAAGAGAAAAGAAAGAAATTCTATATCCCCATGTGAGCCTGTAGAAAAACAAGACTTTGGGTCTGAAAATTAAGAATTACCTTATAGAAAATGATACTATTGCCAAGACTAACGTACGCGTCAGTGATATGATGACCCAATGGAGAAAATGACAGCCAAAACCTGCTAAAAAATCTACAGGGTAATTACCTGAGAGCGGCAACGGGGGTTCATAAGAACTATACCGACGGAAGCACTCCTTCTCTGCACTCCATTACTGGATCAGTAAATTATATGCCTAGCAAATCAAACGGCATATAGAGTGTCAGGGAGTATCAAGTATCAAGGAAAATAGAGGAATACTAGTCTGTCCACACAAGGCTAGGGATCTTGTAAAAGCATCCTTTCATCTTGAAGCAGGATAAGATTCCCTGATAAAGAAGGTACCTTGCTAGGACTTTCAAAGTCTTTATACCAACTAGAAACGAATAAGAGAAATCTAACTTCTTAACAATGCACAAACCTTTGGTTTACAAATGGATCGAGAGCTAATGACTGTTTTGACGCAATCATGTACGAGATGGACTTCAAAGAAAGTATTCCTCTGGGGCGGTTAGTCATAGTTTTTCAAACTGAGATTTTTGCCATCCTCAGATGTGCGGAAAACCTAAGATATGAAATAAGCTAAACATATATTAGTGGACCGAAAAAAAATTTTGAAAATTGATTAGCGATATTTCCCAAAAGCTAGTTATGGATCTCAATATGATTTGGGCAAAATTTCATTAAAATCGATTAATATCTTCACGTTGCTCCTCGACTTTGAAATTAATAACTCATACAGAATTAATAGTTGCAGAAAACTTTCAGTTAAGTTTCAAAATCATTTCGACTTTTCACATTTCGTGTGTAATAATTCTGAAAGACAATTTAGAATAAAGAATATAAAATAGGACTTCTAATAATTGTAAAAATATAATACAGATTTAAGGGGGCTACTTTGGAATCAGCGCGGTAAGAAGTGCGTAATCTACACTTATATAATCATTAATAGTATAATGTATATTAAAAGATTAGTTTGAACGTTTCGGCTATCGGTTTTAGCCATCTTCAGCAAATATATAATTAATACATTAACAAAGAATATCTTCTATACAGTTGGAAAGTGAGAAAAGCACAAACACTTTCCGACTGGATAAAAAATATTTTTTATTAATGTATTAATTATGTATTTGCTGAAGATGGCTAAAAGTGATAATCGAAACGTTCAAACTAACATCTTCTTCAAACACATCTCTTATCGCGCTGACTTCAAAGTAGCCTCCTTAAATCTGTATTATACTTTTACAATTCTGAAAGAATTTTGCAATATGTCACATGAAATGTTGCAGCAGAAATGTTTCTTTAAATAAAAAGCTTTCAGTTGAGTTGTCTCTGAAACATTTCATATGAAATGAAGTTGTAAATCTCAACTGAACTGTTTTTGAAATCTTTCACATACAATAAATTTTAAATGTTTCAGTAGAATTATTTCTGAAACATTTCACATAAAATCGTTTTGCAAACCTTTCACTTAAATAATTTCTGAAATTTATCACATGTGCAATGAGTTTGAAAACTTTCAGTTATCATTAACATTGAGTTATCTTTAACATTTTATATGAAAAAAATTGCAAACTTTGCAATTGAACTGTTTTTAAAAATTTTCACATGCAATAAATTTTAAATGATTCAGTTGAGATATTTCACATGAAATCGTTTTAAACTTTTCAGTTAAGTTTCTGAAATCTTTCACATGTAATAATTCACATGTATTACAGTTATACATCTTTACGGATATTTCAGATATTTCAGTTACACGTGAAACATTTCTAAAATATCTCTGAAAGGTTTCCGTGCTCTGGGAAGTTTAGGTATTTTTTGAATACATATGTCAAAATTAAAAAAAAAATTTAATTTTAATACAATTTGATACTATCTGTTTTTTTTATCGCTGAACATGAATCCTAGAATTACACATTTCAAAATGGCGGATCCAATATGATGACATAATAATTATTTTCTCACATCTCCTACATCTAATCAAGCTAAAGGAAAACTAAATCAAGTAATAAATAAATCAGACTTGATTAAACCAAGGTAAAATATAGTATAATACATATAAAATAATATTTCAGATTTAAATAAATCCAACATTGGCAACAGGAAAATTTGAGAACAAATTGCATTTATTAACATTTGCTTATATAATTGCACATTTATTAAATACCATGATTTAATTAAATATATGATTGTATATACAAACAAATGTTAATAAATAAAATGTAATTGTAATTTGTTTTCAAATTTTCCTGTTGCCAATGTTGGGTTTATTTAAATTTGAAATATTATTTTATGTAAGGAATTAGAAAAGGATTCAAATAATTAAAATTAAAAAAATAATTAATAAAATTTCATCGTTTGTAATTGCTCTCTTACTTTCGTTACTCATTTTAACAATAAACATGACACATATTACAGTAATTTTTTGAATTCTCCGATTTTAAGAAGTCTCATAGATAAACTATGTGATTGCTGACTTTTCTATCCAGGTATCACTCATTAATTTTTTTATTAGTTTATTATACACATACGTTATGATATAGTTTAGTTTATAAATTAATTTAATTTCAATTTTGTAACGATTATTTCATTATCTATTTAGAAATAAAATATTCTTAGTACAATGAGATTAAGTAAAATAACAAGGAATCATAGCAATTTAAAATTTTAAAAACAGAATAATTGTGAAAAAAATCGATAAAAGCGACTGCTCAACATCTATGTGATCATAATGCGTAAGAATTGAATTATAATAAACAGATGGAAATAATTTATAACGATTTCAATTTTTGTTTCACATTGAGAATAACAGGTCGAAACTGTTTGTATTTTTTCTTGAATATTAAGTTAGCAACGAATACTTAGCTTTGCTCGTAGCCCTTTTATTAATTATTATTTTTAAAATTATTTTATGTATTATACTATTTTATCCTGGTTTGATTAGGTTTAATAATAAATAGATATGATTTATTATTTGATTTAGTTTTACCCTTAGGTTGATTAGATGTAGGTGATATGAGATAAGAATTATTATTTTATATCGTCAGATTAAATCACCAATTTGAAATGTGTTCTTCTGACTCCGGATTCATGTTCAGCAATCAAAAGAGAACAGATAGTACCAAATTATATTTAAATATTTTTTCGATTAGGATCTTGTACATCTAGACAAAAATTAACGGTAAATCGTAATTTTAAATAAAAAGTAATTCAATGCGATTAAATAAATTAAAAAAAAAACCGTTAAAGGATTCAGAGCACAAGCAAGATATACGCGATACCGCGGAATTTTTTTCCATTTGGTACTCGAAAAGATTGTAGCTTTTGACAATATTGTGAATAAAATATCAGGCTTTTTGATAAAATAAACATGAGTTTTTGTAAAAAAAAAAAACAGCGAGAATTCATTCAAGCACTTATTAAATAATAAACAAGATTTAACATGAGTTTTTAAATCTTATTTATTCACACAATTTCAATTAAATTTAAAGATCCAAATTCTAAAATCTTTTTTTACAACGACAGGTATGCTTTAACAATGAATTTTCCATTAAATAATTTTCAATCCAAGAGCGATAAACTTATGGTGGAATCAATAGATGGCGTTTATTAGTTTAGCAAAAACGCCGCTATCTCATATTAGGCGCCTATCTCATAATAGAGGGCTTTCCTGTACATATAATTTTAAACAATAAGAAATTTATTGAATTATGTGAATACATAATTAATTTTGCAAACAATTGTTATTTTTTTAAGATCTTAATCTTTTTGTAACAATCCAGTATTGCCAACTGAAATGGTGAAACACAATGTATTTGAAGGTTTTAGTGTATTTGAAGGTTGATCACTGGAGACAAAGCTTGTTACACGAAGAATGTAAATCATAAATTTTCTACGTTGAAGGGAACTAGAAATTATCCAAAATATTCGTTTTATTGTTAATACATTTTTTAGACGTCAATTTCTGTAATAATTTTATATCTATTATTTACAGCGCTGATTCCTGATAGCTCTTTGCTTCCTTTTTGTTTTTGATTAATGCATATTCATTGAAACTTAATCAAACGTCAGTCAAGTTTTATCAAATTTTCATTAATATTTTATTAAAATTGTTCCAAGATAATAATGTTAAAATCTTAAATGATGCCGTAAGTGCCTTATTCAGCATTGTTCTTTCCGTACCTATGAAAACTGTCAACCATTCTCAGCTGACCACGAAGATCCTTTTTTGTAAGATGATCAAGCATTCTAGCATCAACAAGGCACTCCATAAAAGTGGATCGGTATTGAGGCAGTCCTAGACTCGGTAACCAGACGTTACCAATCCACTCGTGATTCATATCACCAAATGCTAATGTTGTGCGAGAAGTTTTCGGCGCTGATGGACTCGTAAGCGACACCATCTCCTGAATGGCTAGTCTCAGTTTTAATCGGTGCAAAGGATTGCTTTACAAAAGTACAAAAAACAATTGTAGACATGATAGTAATGTTATAGTGAACTAAAACTGTTTTATTGTCACAATTATAATCTATAATTAACATTAAAATTATAATTAATATTTATTAAAATTGTTTTTTACATAAATTTTACAGCGTACCTTATACCAATCTCTCGTTGAATTTCGGTATCGCTAAGAGCACTCATGATAGCACCACTTTTGACATTTGCTCGGCAAGCAGCAACATACCACGTCGGCATGCCCACCCAAAGTTCTAACCAGGCGACTACCGTTGGTCCATTCCATAAAGCGAAGGGCGTTCCGGCTTTCATTGCTTCTGCTAAAAGCTCGTGCCGCGAGGAGTCCAACATGCTACCAAACATGCTTGGACTAAAATATTAAATATATATAGAAGTACTTATAAATTATTTTTCTCGCAATCTCAATATGCAACGTACATATTATGTATTTATCATAGTTTATTATCATAATATTTGAATGATACAAGTGCGTCCCATGGAGAAGGAAAAAGCGGAATAGAATAATAATGGAAAAAAAACACGATGAAAGGGAGGAGGGGAGGGAGGTAAGAGCTAACTAATCAAAATGATTCCGTTCAGCTTTTTTGCACTCGGACAAAATTAATTATTTTATTTTCTATGTTTTCCATCTATACAATTAAAAAATTAATTGTTAAAAATAAATGGAATTTTCTTGTAGGACATTTCTTGCTTAATGATAATTAATGATAATGATAATTCATTATTTATTAGGAGAGTTACTTAAAATACGTATTTCCATTTTCTTAGACATTTTAAGGCTCCTGTCGATTCAATGCAACCGTCATGGATTACAGTCAGAAGCGAAAAAATGCATAAAGAAAATTTTTGCGAAATATGTTAATTTTTAAAAATAAAATTTACAATCGATAGAATAAATTTTAAAATGTACTAAAAACTCTTGTGTGGCGGTAATCAATAAATAATCATAAATTTGAAATTAAATTATGTATAACTAGTCCATATAGCACAAAAGTAATATTGCTAAAATATTTACAATTTTACTAAAATGATTTGCGTTATATGGAAGAAAACGAAACAAGTTGTATGATAGGAATTGAAATAAATAATTTTGTTTTATTCTGAAATAAATTGATAGTTTTCGGTATATTTTAGAAGTATATTCTATGAAATGCACATCGTTTTATTAAAGAATATTTTAAAAAATACATTTTGCAAAAATTTCTATATGTTCTCTCGCTTCTATCATCTGAAGATCACCATTCGTGATAAGTGTTTTAAGGAGATCCTAAAGTGAAGACCGAACTTCGACGACTATTTTACCGATGAAAATGAGACACATCTTTATATATTACTGCATCAATATCTCATATATGTATACATAAATTTTCGTAGAACAATAACGTTTTAATTGAATGGCTAAGTCTAACTCTAAAAATTTACATTGTTTGTTCGTGTAAACTACTAATTTGTAGATCACAATGTCGTAAGTACAGATTGCAAAGCTTTTATCAAGCAAATGTTATTATAATATTAATAACTCTGATGCTATTTTGCATTAAGAAATGGTAAAGAAAATCTAAATTTAAACAATTTTTTTCGTTCTAAATTCCATCTCGTAGACATATATTAATGCGTACTTTAATCCTGGAAAAGGAAAAAAGTAATTGTTAAACAAAAATTATTGCATTTAATTAATAAAATAGATAACTTTTTTTCCCTCTTAAATATCTCAAAATAATCAATTTTTCTCATAAGTTGATATCAAAAGACCTGATAGTGTTTTTCGTCAAGCATACACGGTGAGACCACATCATGTACAGGGTGGGCCATCTATTGGTACGTTTTTGAATTTCGTCGTATGGCAACACCGAACGAGCTACAGACCCGAAATTTTGACAGTTTATTAGTCATACCGTCCGCGGCACGAAACAACATGTTTTCTCTTGAAGAGCGTTTTGAAATTTTAAAAACTTATTTTCAAAGTCAGTGCTGTGTCGCCGAAACTGTACGAATTTTGAAAAGAAATATGGGTCGTGATAGAGCACCCACCGAAGGAGCTATACGCAAATTGGTGAGGAAAGTTCGTGAGAAAGGGATGTTAGTGGATGACATTATATTACGACTGTTTTGAGTGAAATTGGCGCCGAGGTAGTCCAAAATGTCATTAATAATTGGGGTGACCGAATGGCATACTGTAAGGCCAGTAGAGGGAGCCACATGAACGAAATCGTTTTTCATTCTTGACGCGGATACTTTTAGCTTCACAACAAAAAAAAAATTAATAAAAAATATCAATGTATGCTCATTTGATCGCATTTTTAAAAACGTACCAATAGATGGCCCACCCTGTATCTATACTAGTAGCGTACTGCGAGAAGTATTATTATATTATATTTGGACAATTTTTAGAATTTGGCTATTCAAATATAATAATCCGTTAATTACTTGATATTTTTGCACAAAATGAATCACAATACTCGAAAGAGCTATTGACCAATCTTTAGTTATGTAAATACAAGAAAAAGTTCGCATACTTAAATTATTAATATTTCCACGTTCTTTTAACGAAAAATTTTACAAACAGATATTTTTATTATACCAATGAGTTCTCACCTCTATCCCATAGCAGCCGAATAATGTCGACTTTAGAAACGCGTTTTCTTGCAATCGGTGTCGCTTGCTTTTTATTTTAGATATGTTGCTATTAATGAAACAAACATTGAAGAATTGTTAAATATCTTCAATAATTATCATTCAAAAATTTCAGAAATCAAATTTACTTTGGAGATGGGGGGAGACTCTCTTAATTTTGAATGTTACGCTTATTAAACAAGGTAACATATAATTGGTATCAGAAATCTACGTTTGAGGTCAATTTGAATTTTTATTTGAGACGTCCTTTAGTACAGAAGAAAGATATTATTTTGGGATTAATTGATAGAGTATTGCTTCTCTCCCACCCGAAGTTTCATTAAATAAATCTGGATAAAATTATCAGGATTCTAAAAAATGGTTATCCATTTAATTTTTGTTATTATTAATAAAAAACCACACAAAAAGTTCGAAATGCTGAATGAAAAAGTTCATAACAATAAAAACAAAAATGCTAATGAAACTGAAAGATGAAGATTTTTTACGATATCTTATGTACTTTATATTACTGAAAAAAAAATTCCTTATATAAGCATGGCATATAAAAGGATAAATAAATTTAAAAAATTCATTTGCATACAAAAAAGGACGAGCTACCTACTTTGTTTTATGCAAATGTTGTATATAAAATTAATTGCAATGATTGTGATGTGTCATACGTACGGGATAAACGGGTAGAGTTTTAAAGACTCGCATTCAAGAACATAGAAGCCACATCAATTGGAACATGACACAGCATTTAGTTATCACGGCACATAGATTTAACTTTTCATATGAATTTGACTGAGAAAATATAGATATTTTAGATGAAGAAGAATTTCTACATAAGAAGTTAACGTGAAAATGATTTTTATAAAGAAACAAATTAATAAATTAAATATTAAAAATAACACGGATTCTTTAGACACTATTTATAATTATTTATTTACAAGATGATGCTTCCCTCTCCTTACTGACTTTGTCAACATTATATATTGCTCAGTTTCGTTTGCGTTTTGGTTATATGTAAGCGAACAATGGAATTGATAATTTTTATGAACGGTCTAGCTTTGTGCCTGTATCATGTAAGTTTAATAATTTATTAGTCATTATTTATCATTTAATTATTTATAAGTCTGTTCAATTTGGTGTTTAATAATTTGTTATATTTGTATAATTAAAGACCTCTAATGTAATTTAAATTTAATTAGCGATATTGAAAAGGGTCCAAAGTAGGAACGAAACGTTTATCTTTGTATTTTGATAGTTATTGAATAAATTTATCACACATGTACACTCAGTGTTCAGCTCTCATTAGGCATTTGATTATTTGATAAATTATTAGTATTTATCTTTCAGTAATTTAATAAATTAAATATTATTTAGATTTAATTTATATCTATCTACCTCTATTATATATAGGTGCGTTTAGTATTGCAAATCGGAGGTGTCCGTTTGTTCTTTTACCTTGAAAAGTTCGGCAATTCGCATCTTTCTGCTACATGTCTTCTTATCTGTGTTCGATATTAACATTTCTAAAGTCAATCGAACTGCTCAATTCACTTCGGATTCAAAGATCGAGCAGAGCTAATGCAGATTTTCGCGCCTAAATTAAATAAATAATTCATAACCTGTATATTTATAATAATATAACCAACTGATTCGTTAACACATTCATTTCTTTTAATACTTCTATTTTAAAAAATAGTGTATTTGAACTGTTATAATGTCTGAGTCTACAAACGCTCAAACAAATGTTATCAAATAGAAATTGATCATGTACAATATTTAACGAGGAAAGTAAGTTTTTAATTCTTTTCCTTTTTATGAATTTGAGATTACGTTTTTGAAAATAAAGAATTTGCTAGTTAATTTTTAGATCAAAGCTTATGCTGTACATATAGAATGAAATAAAATCAAACTTATTAATATATTATAGACTCTAACAAACATAAATCAAGTGATATAACTTATAAATTTCAAATTACTGAAATTTATTTTGCAATGTACTATTTTCTTTTCTTCTAAGAAAACACATCTTGTGTATGAGTCTATTATTCATGTGTAACGATCTATTTTTAGTATATAAGACTATTATCAGTTTTTAGTAAAGTGAAAGAAATTTTCAATTAATAGGATACTTTTTTATTTATTTCATAAAAATAAATAATTTTATTTTATAATCTGATCTTAAAGAACAAAAGCTCTGTATCATTCGGAATTATTATAATTCTTGGCACTCGAAGATCACGTGATCAAGCTCGCCATCTGCTAGCTCGCATCTAAGATTTTACATTGCCGAACGCACCTTATAAGAGTGAGCGTGGTAGACAGCGCACTGGTCTGCTATGCTAGAGATCCTGGGTTCGATTCCCGATAGAACCAAAGATATTTTCATAAGTTCGTATCTCTTCTCGGAAGGAAACGGCAACCCACCGAGAGTATCTTCGATATACCAAGAGTATTTCTTTAATAAAATTTCGTCGTTCGGAATCAACATTAAACTGTAAATCTCATATGATTGTGTACAACCAATGTGCGCACCACAGGCATATGAGAGAAATTACCACGATCAGACACGAGTAATAGGACTGAGGAGGAGGATCTCTATTTTAATTTGATAGAATTGCTTATATACTAATTTCTTGGATGACATCAATTTTTAGAATCAACAATATTTTTGGAAACATTGAATATTAAGGCAAAAGAGGCAATTGCCTCATATAAAAAATTTGAAGGAGTGCAAAATGGCAATACGAATTTCCATATATTTTGATACATTTGCTATTAACGATGACGATAATCTACTATTAAACATCCTTCATGGAACCAAAATCTCTATTAGACATCTTTGAAGTTTCCAGTGGACATCCAGGGCTTCATATTTTATACTAGGGCTTCAAGATTGATTCGGATTTAAAGCTATTCGGATATCTGTTTATCCGAATTACTAATAAATATGATGCTTCAAATTCAGATTATCCGGAGATTCGAATTTTCTAAGATATCCGAATAGTAAAAATCGAACTTAGATCCAGTTCTCAGATTTTATTCCGAATTCGTAGCAAACTTATAGCAAATTTGATTAGTGCGGACTGAGTGTAAATTACAGTCATTATATTATACATTAATTTAATCTGACTGTAAAAGTAAAGTACAAATATTTCTCTTATTAATCTTATACATCTTTGTTATTGCTACTTTATTTGAGAGTCTGTTCTAAACATTTATATTTATAAATCTGATAGGACGTATATATGAGAAACACAATGAATAGAAACAAATGCCTTAAACGGTCTAACTAGATTTTAAGTGCTTGTATAATTCTGTGTGAATCTATATTTATATATTTTAATTTTATTTTTCTTCAATTATATATGTGAATCAAAATTTAATTTTTATTTAAAAAATAACTTATGTTGTTATGGCAACTACAAGGACGGAGGAAATCGCTTAGACTTCGCGGGTCTCACAATACTTATAGTACAAATTAACTTGCATCACAGCAAAGGCGCCTCGGCGATTCTAGCCAGGAGCATGACTGTGATGTAGACAGCAATAGCATTCATTCAGGAGCTATGGCTCCTAAATAATGCTATCAAGGAACTGAGTGGCTGCGAAAGTCATATACAAAGCTCGGACGGAGACCAGTCCGTGATACAACTGAGGCTCAACCTGTACAAGGACAACCACTTGGATGTACTGTGGGGTCAGTTAACATGCCCTTCCCAAGCAGCACCACCACAGAATAAGGTTGAATAGCTGGTGCTCTATGCGAAGGAACGAAGGCTCGTGGACTCCTCTTGGGATGTGACACAAACTCTTTATAGGGTAGGGGAACACAAATATAAACTCGAGAGAGGAAAGTCCCCATGCATTTATAATGAGCACCGGTTTGGTCATCCACAGGGGATCTGAACTCATCTTCATGGACTCCAGAAGACAAAAGATGATCGATATAATCATATACAGCGAGAAAGTGGCTGGTACGGGACTGAAGAGTGTCCGGAGAACTGTCAGGATCGGACCACAGGCGGATTAGATTCGCTCTCAAATATGGAAAACCTAGAATGAAGACGTAACCCCAGAACAAACTGGGAGGGCTATAGGAAGGACCTTGAGGTCACCCTAAAGAATGCTCCAACTAAATTCCACATCAGGAAGAAGCTGAAATTCGCGGCTCAGTATATGAGTGACGCGATAAAAAGGTCCTACAAGGCAAAATGTCCCAAAAGGCCGAAACACCCACCGACTAAGATGTTATGATTGAGTGAAGAGCTCTCGAAACATAGTTAGAAGTGAGAAAGCTCTTCAAAAAAGCAAGAAGAAAACAGCGGACTGGGAAGTTTACAGACAAGTACAACGCTGTTATAGTAATAATCGCTGTAAAGTAATAAGCATCGCAAAAAAAAACTGGAGGAATTTTTGTAAAAGCATTGAGAGTGCTCCTAAAGCATCCAGGCTAAACAAAATCCTCAGTAAAGACAACATTTCCCGTCTAGGCTGCTTAAAGCTCCCGAACGGAAACCACACCAAGATAATAGATGAAACCCACAAACATCTAATGTCTATTCACTTTCCTGATGTTCAGGAGAACACCTATTATACTCACCAAGGAACAAAGCAATCCTGGAAATATAAGCCAAGATCACTGGCAGCAAAAGTGGTATGGTCACCTGGCGGAGTCGAATAGGCCATAAAGACCTTCGAACCTTACAAGTCGCCGAGACTGGATGGCATATGCAATGTACTGCTCAAAGAAAGCATGGGGACCCTATTGGGTCCCTTGACAATTACTTAGAGTTAATGTAGCCTTGAGATACATTCCTCAGGCATAGAATGGCACCAGAAGTGTTTATATCCAAGCCAAGGAGAAAAGGCCACATTGTGATTAAAGATTACAGAGAAAAGAGAACTATCAGTCTTACTGCTTTCATTTTGAAGACACTGGAGAGACTGATTGATAGGTAAACAACAATGCCCTTCTTATTCGGTCGTTGAGCTTTTCTCAGTACGCCTACGATGAGAGCAGATTTACGGATACGGCTCTGCATCACTTAGTGAGCGGGGTCGAGACGCAGCTGACCGCGAGGGAATACGCGTTAGGCGTCTTCATCGACATGGAAGGGGCTTTTGACAGCATTTCAATCTCATCGGTGAAGGACGCCATGATAAGACAAAAAATTCCAAACGCTTGTGGACTGAACTCATGATCAGTTTTCTGCCCTCCAGCATGCTTTATGCTGGAGGGCAGAAAACTGATCATCAGTTATGGCAATATCATCATTCGGTGGCGGGTTGCTCGCAGGGAAGAGTTCTCTCTCCTCTGTTGCGATGCTTGGTGATGGATGAGCTCTTCATAAAGCTGGGAGAGGCTTTCAGGTCTATGACTATGCAGATAACGCCATAGTTACCTAAGGCAACTAACTTTCTTACGACTGTTAAGGAACGCATGGACGAAGCCTTGATGATCGTGCAAAACTAGTGCAGGACGAGGGAACTGATGATAAATCCAAGAAAAAATCTCGGTCATGGTTTCCACCAGGAAATACAAGTTTGAACAAATAGAGCCTTTGAGGCTTTGGGGCAAAGCAATAAACTACACTAGCTCGGTAAAATATCTAGGAGTACACCTGGAGCTGGAAAACATACCTTAAAGATAGGAGGAAAAAATTCTACATCTCTATGTGAGCTTGCAGAAGAGTCATGGGCAGGAATTGGGGAATAAAACCTAGGGTTGCCCTGTGGCTATACAAAATGATATTATTACCAAATGATATGATATTATTGACGTATGCTGCTTGTCTGATAGCTAAGTGGAGAAGGTGAAGGCGAGGAATCTGTTCAAGAACTTTCAAGAGGGATACCTAAAGGCTGCGACAGGGGTCATGAAAACCACTATCAAGGCACTGGAGATGGCACTCAGTTTTCCATCCTTGCGTTTGATGATCATCAGCATAGCAAGGTAAGCAGCATACAAGATGAAGTGTCAGGGGGAGTAGAAGGAAACCAGACTTGGCCACACTAGACTGGGTCTGTCCGACAGATCCCCCTTCACACTGAAGCAAGACAGGATCCCCAGGAAACATCTACTGGAAAAGACCTCTAAAGTTTGAATATCGGCTAGGGAGGACTGGCAAGATTCTAACTTTTTAACCAATCCAAACGTGAATGTATGATACATGGATGGATCGGGAGCAAATGATCGTTTTGGGGCGGACATCTACGGCTCCAACATCAATCATGAAAAAAGCATATCAATAGGAAGGCTGTCCACGGTTTTCCAAGCTGAGATATTTGTCATCTCAAGGTGCAGAACTCCTGATCGATAGAAGAATCAGGAACTGTATCTGCATCTGCTCGAATGGCAGAGCAGCCATAAATACACTTGCAAAAATCTCTACAGAATCGTCTGTAATTTGGGACTGCATGCAAGCTCTTGACAAACTAGGGGAAACAAGTCAAGTCACCTTAGTATGGGTCCCTAGTCACGCCAGTAGCAGCCGAGATGAAGATATTAGGGAACTATCTAGAATTATATAGAATTATATAAAATCACTAAATGCACTAAATAGCAAATAAAAACTTCGTCCAAGCTTAATCAATTAAAGATAAGAATGGTGAACTAGCATACTCCAGCAATGGGGGAGTTTCATGTCTGATCAAACTATTTAAAAAATACCTTCTTTCCAACCCAACCTGGATATCAGGAATCTGATTTCAATAATAATTGGGACACTCAGGCGTATTCTATTATTTTACCCTGAATTAGTTCACAGCCACTTCCGCTCGAAGAAATAAACAATATAATTAATCCTCGAACAGCACACTTATTTTCAGCACCTTCAAACGGTACACATGGGTCTGACTCGATTTTAAGGCTCTTAAAGTGCTCGAAAAATTCTATAAAAATTCACAAATGTTCTTTAAAATCTCTACTAAATTATTCTGTTATGTAAATGTTGGAAAAATTTGGAGTGGTGTAGGGTCAGGCACACAGGTATATGAAAAATAAGAATGTTAGAAAATGCATGGACATGAATGACCCTTCATTAGCATTTTTTTTCACCGAGACAGTTAACTTTTAATGAAGTGCGAAAAAATCGCAGTATTGCTAAATTTTTGATTAGAATTGTATACAGATGCGATAAAAAAAAACAAGATTTTGATGTTTTTTTGTTACTACAATTACGATCCAATATGGTCGCAGAGACTAATCAGGAGCCTTAATAAAATTCATAATATCTGTTGAAATGATAAAGTATTATAATCTTATTGTAAATACCTCTTCTTTTTCCTGCGATCAAAATCGCTTTTATTTCCAAGTGTACCAGCCACACATACACTATCTCCATAGTCTGAATCAGCTGGTGTACTTGCACCTCCCATACCTGGTATATCCCCTGGTATTGCTGTATCTTTCCCTTTGATCTAAAATATAAATCAATAAGGATTAGACAAAACGCTTGATAATTACAGTCAAATTTCTTTTTTTAAGTAAAATTTATATAAACGGAAGTTTGTGAGAATTCAGTAAACAAAACTTTCTTTAGAGAATAATCCAGTGGAGTAAATATATGTTAATATATCTTTATAACGCGCGTGCGTGCTTATCACATGCGCACATTTTTTAAATTTATATATAGTTAATTAAAAATTTTATGATAATTGACTAAAATTACAATTACATAATATTAAAATATTATAAAGAAATAATATATCACAAGTATTATTATTATATAAAGCAATAGATCTTATAAAAAAAGTTTTGAAATACATACATTTTACTTTCCTTTCAGGGAATCAAGAAAAGAATTAAGGCAGATAAGAAGAGAAAATATTAAAAGAGAGGAATATCTTAAAAAAAGAAGTATAATAAATGGTGAGAAAGAAGGAAGGAAATAGATAACGAAAATATAAACACAGAAAGAAAAGCGTAAAGGTATATAAATAAATATTAAAAAAAAGGAAAAAAAATGAAAGTAAGTAAATAGATAGACAAAATAATCATTTCATTTATTAGAAGAATTAAAGGACATAACGATGCACTCTAAAAACGTGCATCGTACTTGGCAGAACAATCGCTGAGTGCCGTCATATGCAGGGAATCCCGCACATGACGATGAGGTGCGCCTGTAATTATTTTAAGTAAAACAAAGCATAATTCACAAATGATAGCAACATGTCGAGTATACGATACGAGTGTTTCCAACAGAACTCGAGTACTACTGACAAGCATTTTTCTTCACATGAGCTTGTGACTCTGCGCCACGCGTTGGAGATGCCGGCCGGCAGGAAAAAGCGAGCCGTTAAAAGTCAGTGAGAAATAAAATACTCAATTTCTCTATAAAACATTAATTTCAATCTCGGTTCCAATCCTGAGCTCACTACTTTCGATCCGCTGACGAGTACGATTTCTGATCTCTATCCATTTTCCTGAGAGACACTAGTAGCAAGAAAGGGGAAGTAAAGAACACTTTGCCTCTCCTAAGCGTTCTCAGTAGAGAAGAGGTCTCTTACTATCGTGCAGTAATCCAATGAGCCAAGGGAGTAGAGTATTCTGCTTCCGCTTTTCGAGCATTTTTGGCTTTTGGTTACCGAGACACATTTTTTTGGCAAAGGTAAGAAAACCGAAGTACTCTCCGTCTCTGTCGAGTGTTCTTGGTAGTTATTGCCATTGCACTCCTGCAAGGAAATACTCTCGCCAATACTCAGTGAACGGCACAATACGCGATACGTGCATCCGCGTTTTCCGAGCCAATATGTACCCGCGATACGACTTTAACTACGTTGCTTAACAGCCGCTGTCTAGCCTGTCTGACGCCTATTTCCGCAACTCGCGAATCAGCGGCGCGTACCTATATACAATAAGCATCATTAATGTCTTCTCGCTTGAAATTAATTTCCTCTAATTGTACACATCACATCCAGATATTTATTCATCACGTTCGCCAACGTTATTTTGAAACTACATGTAACGCATACACAGTGTCAAAAAAAAAGTATTATTAATATATAATTCGGACTGGCCGTTTTTGCGTTACTCATCCAAGAATTTGCATGCATAATACCGCCACGGTTATGATCCGTTACGAGAAGGACGGACGTATGCGGAAGTCGTGGAACTCGCTAGAAGGAACATTTGACGGACTTGGGTATCACTGATATCAAAATAGGAGAGCCCAAGCCGGGGGACTCTTGATAGAGAGTCCTCCCTGATGAGGACCTAGGTAAGAAGGCGGACCTACTTTGTAGACTGACTCTGAAGACGGTTTTCAGCAGAAGGTCAGAGTGATTAAACTTATCAAAAGAGCAGAGTTTCGTTTCCTAAATGTGGATGTATCGGTTACTTCGGAAGGAATCAGCAACGCGATAGTTGAAAATGGTGATTGAGTGCATTCCGACGTTAGGGTTGGTCCTTACTGGGCCGAGATGGTTTTAATGTGATTTAGGTGCGATTTAGTGCCTAGCCTCGTGTTCAGGGAAGCTGTATGAACAGAGTCGCGTATGCCTGGAATGGTCATTCGCTCGGGGTGGTCCTTCTGACGAGGCGACTCTTGCAGTGTTTTCGCGATCACGCGAGACCTGACTGTCGCATGAAGTCAACAGAAGTAATTGTTGCTTCAACTACGGAAAGATCGGTCACAGGTTGAAGATTGCAGGACCAAGGTACATTGTCCGGCGTGTGCCACCAGGGATCTTGACGCGAGTCACAGGACTGTCGCAGTCGGATACCCGCCTTATAACGAATCGGTGATTGTAGGCGCGCTGAATGCAGCTGTGCCGAATGTGGCTGATCGGAGGGTCACGATCTCCAAGGTGGAGATAGATGTGGAGGTCCCCCCTAATGGTTAGGGTAGGACAGATTAACGTGAATCATTCCAGGCTCGCGCAAGATCTCATCCAGATCTTCAAAGAAGATCGGCCTGATGGCGGTCGCTGAGCCATACAGGATTCCCAATGGTAGGTGGACTTCCTCTTTGAAAGTATACATCCAGCGGCGGCCATTACCTGGCAATGATTGTGTTGTGACTACCAATGCTCTCTTTTAGTTCGCGTTAACGGCTTTGTTGCGGTCAAATGGGGGAGGATGATAGTGTTCAATTGCTATTTCCCTCCTTGTAAGGTCGATATAGTTTTTAAGTGATCTTTACGATCTGGAAACCCAGATCAAGAAACATCTTGAGAGGCTGCTTCTAATATTGGGCGATTTTAATGCTCGTTGGTCAGTTTGGGATCGCGGGCTTTCCAACCGTAGGAAAAGACTGTTGCTCGGTTGGACGGGAAGATCAATCTGTCTTCTACATAGGGATGTTGTCCCTTCATGCTAAGCTCATGTGTTGCTATCAAAATTGCAGCAACTGAATCCTCATTTGTTGGCAACTTGATGCCTTCATGATATGATAATATTGAACAGCAACTTACCAGCAGTTTGCCGACAACTTTAAAATCGTTATCATCAAAATTCGTACTACTGCCATCATGTTGGCATAATAATATGCAGCATCATGCAATGCTTTCATATTGCCGATAACATAAGATAACATTGAGCTATCTTGCTGTTAAATTGCTGGCAATATATATACGCATTGTTGTCTGCATGTTGCTACAATGTCGGTATATTCAAAATCGTTGAAGACAGATCTATGGCAAGTTGCCAACATCATAAACAATCACAGATTTGTGTGATTTTGTTGAGACACGCTTTGCTATCTGGGTAATAAATGGTGACTTTCTTCTTCATGTAGTTTGGCAACTTATCAGAACGTCTGATCGTAAAATAACCTTCAAACAAAAGACATTCGTAAAAATTTTGGAAAAGTACGTTGATATGTCAGAAAATATTATCAAGCCAACAGTGTGATTGTTTTCGACGGCTATCCAGAAGACGTTAAAAATAGCAACACAAAATCTGCCGAATGTCTCCTTAGATTTGATCTGGAACTAAATTTATTTTTCCTTCAACAAGAAATTTTATCGATAAATGTTCGGCTCTCCACTGTCACCGATTATCGCCAATATTATGTTAGAAGATTTGGAAGAAAGAATGTTCCAATTATTATCGTGCCGTTTACTTTTTTATTACAGATATATAGATAACATATTGCTTGCTGTTTCTCCAGAAGCATAGTTACAATGCAATATTAGATATTTTCGACTTCTTTCATAAATGTCTGCAATTCACGCTAGAAATTAGTGATGATAGCTTAAATTTTCTAGATGTACAAACTATCATTGATGATCACAGAATCATTTTCGACTATTACAAGAAACCAACCTTTTCAAAGAGATATCTCAATTTTATAATTTTAGATAAAAATACGTAGTGTTTTTAAAGGAGGAAAATATGAACTTATTTTTAAGAAAAAAAATACGTTATATTGATTCATTCCAAAAAGTATAATTATTTGCGCGACTGAAACGAGCGCATTTTTATACATGCTCAGAAAAATGATATCGAGGTATGTCGGATATTTTCTTCTTTGAAAAAGAAAAAAATGCAATGAAAATATTTTATATAATATTAAGTATTTAATAATTTCGACATTATTTACTCATGATTTTATAACTCTAAGAAAATAGAGCGATTGTTTCATCAAGACTCTCTTTCACAAAAATGCTTTTTCGACAATGACTATATATTTTAATTATGAGACAACACATATACTTGAATACACTATTAATCAAGAGACAAATACTAAAAACGAATTTTTACTTTCAGCAAAAATTTGATGAATTTATAATTGATAGGTCCAAGTCACCCAATCCAAATTTTTACAATTTTAGTGTCAAGGCAACAATGAAACGATTGCATCACGGCGATCGACAGAAAAAGGATCTAAGTTTTTTATCCCCTTACTTTAATTCTGCAATATTAATGTATAAAAATAAGGGCCAATTAATATGTTCACCGAGATCCAAATGATCCATGACTCACTCATGTCATTGAGGATTAAATATAACATCCCTGCTGTAAATTCATTCAGATATCTTAATACTGTACTTAGGACGTTCTTAAATGCAAGAATCGATTATGAATACCGGCTTGTTTCGCATCGTGAGATTGGTACTGAATCTTTCCTTATTTGACTTTCTTTATTATTGGGTCATCTAAAAAGTATTTTTTGTCACTAGATGGTGTTGATGGTCATATATCGGGCAATACTAATCCGATTGTGTCAAACGAACGCGCGTCTGAAAGATGACATTTTAGGTTACATTTTTTGTAAACAAAGTTTGGTGATTCATCAATCGTGTCAAAAGTTATATTGGTTTCAAAATGAGTGAAATATCTGAAGAAATACGCTATGTGATGCTTTTTTACTACAAAAAAGGCAAAAACGCAGCACAAATATGCAGACAAATTTGTGAAGTTTACGGCGCGGATGCTGTAAGTGAACGCAGGACGCAGGAGTGGTTTGTTCGATTTCATTCTGGAAATTTTGATGTCAAAGATCGATCTCTCTCTGATCGGCCAGTCACTGAAAAAGTCGATGAAATTTTGCAACTGGTCAAGCAAGACCGGCATGTGAGCTGTCAGGAGATAGCCAATGCACTAAGAATCAACCATATGACAGTTTGGAATCATTTGAAAAAGGCTGGCTACGCAAAGAAACTCGATGTTTGGGTGCCACATGAATTAACGCAAAGAAATTTGATTGATCGAATTTCCATCAGCGAAACACTACTAAAACGCAACGAAATCGATCCATTTCTGAAGCAAATCATCACAGGCGATGAAAAATGAGTGAAATACAAGAATATTGTTCGTAAAAGATCATGGAATAAGCGCGGCGAACCACCACAAACGATTTCAAAGCCTGGATTGATGGCAAATAAGGTGATGCTGTGTGTATGGTGGGATTGGAAGGGAGTCGACCTTGCACCGTCTGACTACCATTTGTTTCGATCTCTGCAGAACTCTCTTGATGAAAAAACATTGGCCGACAAAAGAGCTGCCGAAAATCACTTGAAAAAGTTTTTCGCCGATAAACCACAAAAGTTCTATACGGATGAAATTATCCGAAAAATGGCAAAAGGTTATAGATAATAATGGCCAATATATACTTGATTAAAATTGATTTTCAATAAAGAAAAATTTCATTCAAAAATTGAACAAAAAATCGCGGATATTTTTTAGATGACCCAATATTTTATAAGTCTTAGGTTCTCTTTCTATAAAAAGAGAAACATAAAATGCGTTAAATAAGGAAAAATTCAGCAAGAAAGATTTATCAACTTCACGACGCAAAGCAGGTCAATATTCATAGTCGATTCTTACATTTAAGACTGTCTTAAGTACAATTAAGATATCATAAGTCTAATCGAGAACTGTATTAGCATCGTAAGACATTATTTAAGATTTTAAAATTAAAACGGACAATAAATACCGCTCCATATTTCACGTTTCACAGTTGGTAGCCCATGCACACTATAGACGACGCAGAGCAAAAGTAGTAATTTGGCTGAATTGCACACACACCATTCCATTATGATGTAAAGTCATACGCCCCGATTCTCGATACTCGCGGCGCTTGTGAACTTTGTTTGAACGCATAATGAGTGCGCCGTAAGAAAAAGTAACGAAGTCACGAATGTAACTTAACCCTGTAAAGATGATTTTGTCTGCGGTTAATCTTTCCTGATCTTCCTAACGAAGACTAATCGCAGACAAAATCGCTTTTACGGAGTTAAGTTCGTGGCACTTTTTCTTACGGCGCATTCATTATGTTACAAAGTTCACAAGCGTCGCAAGTTGAGAATCGAAACTTAATTCGAAATGCAAAATCGGTCCACCTTTATTTATGAAAATGGAGTCTCCTTAGTTTCCCTTCCTAGATTCGATATTCACTGTCAGTGCTGAAACTGTAACTAAACAGTATACGTTATATGCGCTATAGATTTTCAGTCCGCACCCCTCGTTTCGTGTGAAAAGTTTTAAGCAAGAGAAGTTAGTTTTTAATATTATAGATGAGTTAATATTATTTATAGCAGAAATAAGACGTTACTTTTTTGTTAATAATTTTTTAATAAATAATAGGCAATAGCTAAAATCTGTTAGAAGTTACTCATGATCATGACCTTGATAACGTATGCCAATGTTAAGATCATTGGGATGATATCCCTTATTCAGTACATTTATCATTTTTCAGATGAAATCAAGCATCTTTCTTTCCTTGAACAACGAATTTGTCGCTATAACATTATACAATTATTGTGATTATTTGATCTCAAGATGTAATTCAATTAATATTTACAATATAATCTACATACCGATATGAAACGGTTGTTAAATCGATATAAATACAACATTTCGTGCGATATGCAAAATCAGAATGTACAATATATAAATTCATACAAGAAATACGTATTTAAGCACTAAGATTTGTTATACAACCGAATATATAGAATTCTTATTTAAAATTTGATTTATTCATATCAGTCTAATAATCGCTTCATATTGTTAAATTTAATTATTATCTAAATTTCTTTTCCCTTATTCATGTAATTACGAAAAAATAAAAATTATTTATTTCAAATATCAGATTTTTTAAAATTATTCCACAAAAATAAATAATTTGCAGAAAATGTAAGTACTTAAGTTTTCACACTGTACAAAAATTTCATTCATTTATTTCCAAGAAATATGGGAAAAGAATATAATCTATATAAGTAAGAAAGAAATATTAACAGTTAAATATTAAAGAAATGTTTTATAAAATAAAACAAAAGATTAATCTAGAAACTTAATTTCAAACAAAATGTTCAACTTCATATATACTCCCATAACAAAAACAAATATATATCTTCGAAAAGTTTTCTAGAAAAAACGTTTAATGTTTTAATTAATGTAATAATAATTAAATATCACAAACTATAATTTGTGCTGTGGTTTTTTATGCTCTTATTTTTTATATGTGTTAATATTAGAACCACGTTAGTTTCAAGACATATTTTTCTAGAAAAGTTTTAAAATTTTATAACAGTAAATATACAAATACGAATCTTATATAACACATAATTGAATTACTTAAAAACTTTTTAAAAAAATTATTAAAACGTTCATTGCTAAATGTGAATTTTCAAAAAGATAATGACAATATATTTCAATATCTTTATGAAAATAGCATTTCGTGAAATCTCACAGACTTCCGTATTTAAAGTCGTAATTTGAGAATAAAAAAGGAAAAATCGTTCACCTTTTCTTTTTTGCTGAAAAATCTACCGAGGCTACTCTTAATGCCTTTCTTTTTTTGCGCAGCCGCGACCGCAGCCGCTGTGGCGGAGCTAATGGTTGATTGCATATGCAGATGTGATGTCGATAATTGTCCAATAGGCAGCCCGACGCTGGAGAAGTTGTTCTTGTGCAAACTGTCCTGGCTGCTGTGGCGTGAGGACAATGGGGAAGGAGGAGTTCCAGAATTGAGTGCGCCGTTGTTATGCTGCCCATGCCTGCTGCATGGAGCGCTAATCTAGTTTCTATTTCTACACTAATCGATGCTACTACATTCTAACTCAAGCAAGAACATTATCTTTTTAGTATTTTTCTTTTCCCATTCTATATACTAATACTTTACTATTTTATATACAACATACACTATCGTTCATGAATTTGAAAACGCCCAATTTTTTTCACAATTTCACAAAGACTTAAGTATTACGGTGAAAAGAAATCGTAGAGAACTTTTAAAAATACATTTTGAAAAAAAAAATAGAGTAGAGAAATCGAAGTGTTTACGAATTATCGCCATGTAGTGATTTGTTGCTAATGCTAACATTCCATGAATCTTACTGTTGACTTCACATTAGAGCACACTGATACTGAGTTACACCTCTATATGGAATATCATCGGATAAAATTTAATAGGTAAGCATTTTAAAATAAACTTTTAAGTTTTAAAACGCTATTTGAAAGAAATTGTTGCTATAATTTTTTGTAAAGATATCAAATTTTTGTATAATATTTTGACTTAATTACTTAAAACATGTCGACGATCAAAAAAGTTTTTAAAAAACTTTGGAAAAGTTTTTATATGTGCGAATGACGCACATTATAACAAATATTTCTTCCTTTTCGTCCTTTTTCTCTAAATCTCTTATAATTAGTTTTGAAGTTAAAGAATGTTTTATAAAAATTAAATTTTTATACAATAAAATTTTACATAATAAAAAATTCATTTTTGCGAAAAAGTAACATAGCAATTTTTTTTCTCAGAACGCATTTTTAAGCTTAGAAAATTTACTTCAAAATGCTTGTCTGTTAAATTTTATCTGATGACGTCTCATTTAAGTAGAGGGCTTCAAAAAATAAAAATATTGAAAAAAATACCAATTTTCAATTTTATGAAAAAAATTTAAGAATAAAATATAGAGACATAATTTAAATGCCAATTTAAAGCTCCATTTTTTTTGTATTTGAAATGCATTAAAAAAATTTCTATACAATTTCATTTCATATCAAGATACTTAAATTTCTATAAAATGAGAAAATTGCAAGCGTTTCCGAATTTATGAACGGTAGTATAGACATATGTTTTTAATATTTCGTGTTTTTGGTAATTATATAATATATATGCTCTGCATTTTTTATTTATATAGATTAAATGAATTCAGGAATTTTATTTATATAGAAAATGAATGCGTTCAGGAATTACGCTCAAGGAAGTCGATTGTGTAATTGAAATGAGGTAAAAATTATAAAAGTGAGCAAAAATTACTAGATATTGACAAATTAAATTATGAAAATTCGAGTGAATTTGTTCATTTTTGTAATGTTCACCTCACTTCAAGATACACAATCGACCTCCAGATAACTCTATAGGCTATATTATGTGTTAAGTATATACTATAGCAGTGCTCGGAATTAATCGTTACGTACTCACTGACTAAAAGATTGCAACAGTTTTTTTTCTATAGTTTTCGAAATGTAATCTACTCATCAAGCGATTAATTCTTACTTACGGATCTATAAATAAGAACCAATCGCTCAGTGAGCAGATTGCATTCCAAAACCAAAGAAAAAAGTGTTGCAACCTTTAAATCGAGTGTACATTGCGGGCTGATTTTTGAAACGCTGCCTACTTTTCCTTCACTACCGCTCAACGTTCGACGGTCGAGCCGCCAGATCGCGCGTGTGTCTCAGGACCATCGCAATATAAGAAATACACCGTACCTTTTAGCAAATTATCATTAAAATATTTTCCTTCCTACGTATTTTCTTAATATTGAACACCATACTAATAAGTAAATGCATTTTAGTGTACTTTTAAAATATTATTTTAGTATTTTTATAATTCATTCGGTTTCTTTCAAAGAACTGATCACGTTTTTGAGAGTGTACAGAATGTAATATCCTATAATATAGAATTTTACTTTATCGTGTCATTTATTTGATTATCTTTTTTATTATTATTTAGTGGAATAAACTTGCAGAGAGCACTTAAGACATATCAGTAACAGAATTTCAAAGGTAATATGGAAAGTTATTGTAATTATACATTGTAATTATTGTCAATATATATATTGCAAAATATATATATATATATATTTTTTAATAGTACACAGTAAAAAAATTTGTGTTAAAAAAAGAGCAGTGACAATTTAGGGCCAAAATTTGCCTGTGATAAAAACACAACTGTGATATGAAATCGGTCAATCTTTAGATTTGGACGTGCTGAACTCGAATATGAAATTTAAAATTCTTCAAAGTTCCCCAGACTTTGGAGAATTTTAAGCTTTACTTTGCGGCAAAATATTATATTTTCCGATGGACAAATAGTAACTGAACAAGAAACCTCTTTCTATTATAATAACTTCACAAACTGCAACTTTTTTGCAATGTAAAAGTCAATGTTACACGGCATACAATAACATGAACAAAATAAAGATGAATGTCCGTACCTACGAGCATGGGCATGAATGCATTCCAGTTTTTTCATTATCAGCATTAGCTTTACACTACGTGGTATATTTTGGGTAAATGCATCTTTGTTTTCTTATTTATTTTTGTTTATGATATTGTACATCGTGTTGACTTTTATATTGCAGTTTTTGAAGTCATTATAATAGAAAAAAATTGCAGTTTTTGAAGTCATTATAATAGAAAAAGGGGTTTCTTGTTCAGTTACTATTTGTTCATCGGAAAATACAATATTTTGCTGCAAAGTAAAAATTAAAATTTTGCAAAGTCTAGGAAATTTTGTGAAAATGTCATTCTTCTGCAAAGAAGAAAAATTGCATTTTCACAAAATTCCCTGGACTTTGAATAATTTTAAACTTCATATTCGAACACGTCCAAATATATAAAGATTGATCGATTTCATATGTTTTCATTACAGACAAATTTTGGCTCTAAACTGCCACCGTTCTTTAACACATTTCACATTTCATGTCCCAAACATCTACTCAAATTTTTGTGTTAATTTAACATAAGATGAATATATTAGAAAATAACATAAATAACACAAATATTATGTAAAAAATTAACACAAGAAGCGTAATACTTTGACACAATTTAAAATCAAATTTTATGTTAGCACATTTATAATGTTAAATTTAACTGAAATTACCCATAATACTATTTTTACATTTTTAGTTTAGACATGATATGTAATATGTAACATATGTGCAATATATAGATTTAATAAATATTAACTGTTACAAAGAGAAAATAACACAAAATATCTGTACCTTTTTACATATGTAATTAGTTGTACAAAACATATTTTTTCAATAAAATTAACATTTATAAATTAACACACACATTTTATTCATTTATTTTTAGAATTTATGTTTTAAAACTACATTATTTTTATGTTATCTGTTTACTTACTTACAAATTGTATTATTTTAACACTGAGAAACGTTAAATTTTAATTTAACACAGAATATTCAAATAACACAATCATGTTATGTTAAATTAAAACTTAAATATGTTAAAAATTTAACACAAAACTTTCACAAGAATTTGAGTAGATCGTTTCTAACACAAATACAAAATTTTTACTGTGTAGAAAGTTTGATTTAACTAAAAAATTAACAATTATAACAAAAAACAAACTAAATCTGGACTAATGAGAGTCAGCGCGAATGAAAGTGCGCAATAAAATTTTACAAATAAATTTGTTAATACGAAGTGTTGATATCATCTTTATTTGAAATCTTGAAAATTCTTGAACGTTTTGATTCTCTTTGGAATCTTCATCAGCAATCTTCTTAATTCATACTAGATTTCGCGGACGGTCAATATAGAGTCACTCGCACTGACTCTCATTAGTCCAAATTTGTTTTTTGTTATTTTAAGGAGGGTATGCCTTGTTTAACATATTTATTATTAACAATTATGTAAAAAGGAAAATATTTTAATAATAAATTGCTGGAAGGTACGGTTACATGCCTGTGTGAGATAGAGGAAAGACCCCTATTATGAGATATCGAGTTTATTTTGGGTAAATGCTAAAAAACTATGGGCAGAATTTTAAAAATTAATAGTCATAATAATCATTTTGAAGGAAATTTAATAAGCTTTAAGGTAATGTTATGTAAAATTTAATTCAAATTTTATTTTTTTATAGATTAAATGTAAGAAGTAAAAAATTATGCTCCTAATATGAAATGTCCCGATAAATCGATAATAAAACGCAAAGTACATCAGTATTGTAATTAAAAAACTTTTATGTTTTTGAAATACAAATAAACACAGCCAATGCACGTGCAAAATGATTATGCGATGCATTGTACCTAGCTGACTCATCTTTAGGTAGTTGGAACCAAACATCGCAGAAACAGACACTCGATGTTTATTTCAATTGTTCTTTTTATTATTGTTATTTTTATTATTATACAATAACATTTATACTTCAGCAATGATTTTCATTATGACATAGGAGCATAGGTTATTTCATATTAGAAATACCCTAGATATTTCATATTACGATTTCCACGTCTAACGGTTTTACGATCATCAAATCTCATTTCTGTAATTAAACAATTGATCATATCACGTATTTTTCTATTAGTACGATCTTACTCTATATTCTTCATCACATGAAGAATTTATTGCCAAATATTTACTTATTAAATAATAAACTAGGTTTAAAAGTTCATCTCAACGAAATTTGAAGACATCCAAATTTTAAAACCTTTTTTTTGCAATGACTATAGGAACGATCTAATAATGAATTTTCTACTAAATACTTTTCAACTCAAGAACAATAAATTCATAGTGGAATCAATAAATAGCGTTTATTAGTTTAGCGGAAACGCCGCTATCTCATATTAGGCGTTCTATAATAGGGGACTTTCCTCTACATGTTCGCGCGCGATCCGAAGGTTCGTCCATCAAGCGGTGAGCAGTAGTGGGAGGAAAGTAGGCGACGCTTCAAGAATCGAAATGTGCAACTAATTCCGAGCACTGTACTATAGCAAAAGTGTACATTAAAATTAGGACCATGGCA